CTCTCTCTCTCACGCACACCCACACTCACACCCACACATTAATACTCACAAACACACACACAAACACCCCCACACACACACGCGCGCGCATACATGTGCGCGCTCAAAAATGAAGAGCTAAACATCAGGTTCGCAATAGATCCAGTCTTTTTCTCTTTGCCCTTTATCTGGTGCCAAATACATCTAGCATGAAATGGAGCGCTCCATGATGAACCGGAAATACGTCAGAGCGCACACTCTGGAATATCATAACACAAATCAATGGCCCTACTTTCATGACGTAGGAAGTCGCTTTATTTCCCCTTAATCAGGTTCTTCTAAAAGTGTGCAATGTTTTAATTGAAAATATGTGTTTCTTATTGACCTGAGAACTGGCTAAGGGCCAAGTGCTGGGCAGTCTGCCTGCCGGGGAAGAATACTGGCCATTGTTGGTCAGTACGTTATACAGAGCCTCGCCTGTGGCCTGAGCGGGAAAGAAACATTCCATGATGGCTGCCACACGGTCAGACTCGTCGGCAAATGTAATGTTGAGAGGGCTGGCCGAGAAGAGAAGCAGGATGATCTGGGCAGAGCCACCTGGGCGGAAACAACAAGGTCAATTAATTAACGGTGTTCAACTCATGACTCATGACAAGGCGTGCATATTTGTTAGGTTAAACATCTCTTTGGATCAAACACTAGTGAACGCTTTATCCGTAAATCGTTGGCAAGCTGTTCTATAGAAGAAAAACACGTTCTAAACCCAGATAGTAAACCTTTTCAGGAGAGAGGAAAAACGTTTCCGCCTTATAACAATATTTCTGTACCAACATTATGTATCATTTCTTTTTTTTTTTTTGACATTTAGAATTTGAATTCCTGCAAATATGTTTTGACTATGCCCAACTGGTATCACAGATTAAAAAACAAACGATTTTGCTCAACTGTTCTCTCTCTCTCTCTCTCTCTCTCTCTCTCTCTCTCTCTCTCTCTCTCTCTCCTACACATTTACTCAATGAAGTGAGGAAAATTCTTGTAAAGTGCCTTTCCTAAGGACACAACGTCGGGCCTGAGCCTCGAACCCCCAAACGCGCATCCTTACGATTACGAGTCCAGTAGGCTAACCACAAGAAGACAAACGACACAGTACACAGGCCTATACTATCTTCACGTCTTCAGTGTGTTGACTCACTGTTGTCTAGTACGTCCAGGAGAAGCTGCTTCTGCTGACCAGCGAGCTCAACATCTGGCCTGTCGTTTCCCTCACGTTCTACAGCTTGACCTGTTACACGTGAAAAAAAAATCATGCAAATACACTGTTTCTGTAATTCGTATAAAATGCTCCATTAAATTTGTTTTCTCACCCCCCCCCCCCCCCCCGCCCTTTCATTACCATCCTATCAATGCAGTATGAACGAGGAAGATGACCATCTTTTCTTAGTTTTAGTAGAGGTTTTACGGCGCTCGCAACTGCATAAGGTCATATGAGAGCCAGAAGATTAGAGGTGTCACAAGAGAGTAACAAACATAAAAAAGAAGAAGGGGAGATAAGGACGATAGATGCTTGATAGGAAAGAAGGAGCAAACAACACCAGAGCGCCCGCCAACCACCCACTTTATCATCTTTTCTTTTATCATTTTAATGGGTCACGAAACTTCACTACCTCAGAATTACAATGTTCCAGATCTAATACGTAGTTTTGAGACATTTGAGGTCAAAATTTTAAGTTTCACCATCAATCTTTTGTTTAATGCAATTCTTTGAATATCTTGATCACGACTCCGATTAATCTTATGATTTTGAAAAAGCAGATAGAGCATTTTTTTTCTGACCCCAGAGTCTCAAACTCAAAATGGCCAAAAATTTCAGAGAGAACTTTGTAACTCAGCGAATTGCTATTTTGGTAATTGTAACGGGTTTATTGCTCAAAGCAATTGTGGAAGTATTTACAACACATCGTGGATCTTCCGTGATAAATACAGGAAAGAAACGTTTTAAAATATGAAATATGTTCGTCCATCAATCAGTCTACCTTCCTCTAGGTCAGTCACTCTGTATTTTGATCTATCACCTTATTTCGATGTTCTCTGAACTTCATTGTCAGTATGTCAGTTACATCCCATGAAATTAAAGATATTTTAAACAGCAAGACTACGTTGGATCTTGTGTCTTACAATATCAAGGCTGTCTATTAATGTGCTAGTACTAGACAACTTGTCTTTCCATTATTATCGTTCTCCAATAAAGCCTGGCGCTGCAAGTGCAAGGGTTTCGCGCCCTTTTCAACACTTAAGGTTGTATCAGATATGGGCCTCCCAATAAAAACAAAATTTTGATGGGACTGAAAATCAGTCTCTAAAACACAGAGCAAGTTAAGAAAAAAACACTGGTCCATGGGGTGCGAATTTGCGTTGCTCGTTCAGCGGTCTAGCATACAGCGTCTGTCCTGACTAATAATAATAATAATAATAATAATAATAATAATAATAATAATAATAATAATAATAATAATAATAATAGATAGCATTTGTATAGCTCATATCCCCGCTCATCAGCAGGCTATATGCGCTTTACACTATATTATTACCTCAGCAGACCATAGAACACTCCGAAACATTCTCAGCTTCCCGGGAAGCATACAGTGCAAACAGCCGATTCAGCGCTCAAACACTTACAAACTGACAAGATCTTTCGCTGTCTATAGCCGGGTACCCATTCCCACCTGGGCAAAGAGAGGAAAATTCGTGTAAAGTGCCTTTCCCAAGGACACAACGTCGGGCCCCTGGCGGGATTCGAACCCACGACCTTACGGTTGCGAGTCCGTAAGCCTAAATGGCATACCCCACATTATTTGTAAAACTAAACGAACTAAATGAATCTCCAAAACCGCACTAAGCACACCGAAAACCCGCTGTATTTTTTGTTATCCGGCGGTACTGCCATCTGGAAAAGACTTCCACAGCCAACAGCATGAAAATCAGCGCTGAGACGACCAAACTGATGTCTAACAACAGCAAGAACATCGCAGCGGACATCCAGGTCAACAACCAGAGGCTTGAGACCGTACACAGCTTCAAATACCTGGGTGCAATAGTGACAGACGAAGGATCAAAACCAGAAATACTCTCCAGAATAGCGCAAACTTCATCAGCAGCAACGACCAAGTTGAAAACCATCTGGAAAGACAGAAATATCACCATCAGATCAAAGATTAGACTGATGAGTTCCCTAGCCAAGTCAATATTTCTGCATGCAAGTGAATCCGGGACCTTGAAAGCAGATCTTGAAAGAAGGATCAAAGCTATGGAGATGAAATACTTCCGAAAAAAATCATTGGAAGGACCTATCTCATACAAAAATCACATCACAAATGATGAAGTCAAACAACGGATAAAAAATGCAATTGGACCATATGCTGACCCTCTAACTCTGGTCAGGAAACGCAAAATACAATGGTATGGACACATCATCCGTTGTTTTCTTTCGCCGTGCCAAGATGATCCTGCAAGGCAACGTCTCGGGGAAAAAAGGAGCAGAGGCAGACCGACGAAGATTTGGGAGGACAGCATGAAGGAATGGACAGACCTGGACCTCAAAGACACGCTCATGAAAGCGGAAGACCGGAAAGGGTGGAGGAAGCTGGTGGCCAAATCTCCCCAAGCGAAGCGACGGACATCCAGTTTGCGGGATAGGTGAAAGTGAAGGTGAAGACTGCCTTCTACCAAGTGATTCGTTTAGCCCATTCTTCTACCAAACAATATTTCCTTCACCAAATTTATATCTACCCTTCACTACTGCCCCTTGTCTTCATGTCTATGTGTCATTGGCTTTTTAAAAATACCTTAAATTGTGAACTCTGACATAATTCCGGTTCATTGCGGAGAACACTATTTGAACTCTCTTATGAACCAAATGAAGGAGGAGGAGAGAAAGGTTACCCTCGCATTCGACAATAGCCAGATTGGTGTTTTGAGTTTCATTTGTACTTTCATGGTAAGCACCAGCGCGGCGAAATCATTACAAAGAGAAAAAAAAAGCAATAACCATAACATCAGTGCACAGTCCAGGTGAGCTAAATGTGAGACAGCGTGGTGGAATCAGGCTCTTGTCAATTTTTGGGCGTGGAGCGTTATAAATTGGTATCATCTTAAAGCTTGTTCACTTGTCTTTATTTGGGTGAAAAAATATCCATTTATCTTGAATACAAGTTGAGATATTTGCGAATGAAGGAGGTGGGGTTCACTTGTTTTCAGAGGTAAAATTAGTGAGAAAATAACCGCCAAAGATTAGTTATTTCCTTAGCTAAAGAGTCCGTGGTAACTGAAGATTTACATTTTTGTGCCTTTAATCAACACTTTTCAGAAAAATCAACCCAGAAATGAGTTCTTTAATGGGCATGAAAGGTGTTGAGCCAAAAAACAAAAAATAGAGAAAAATTCACAAACCTGCGGAAAAATGCCAGTTTCTTCACTTTGATTATTTTGACGAGAGCCTGATTCCACCACGCTGCCTCACAAATTCGTTTGCTATACAAACCTGTGCCCAGAGCAACAAAGACGAGCTCTTTGTCGCTCACAATATCAGGCACGGCGCCCTTGTTGTACTCTGTGCACGGTGTGCCGTCGTTGCACACTTTTGCGTATTTGATGTCAGGATACAGAGACCTCAGGCCGTCCAGGGGCGTTTGGGTGAAAGATCTGTCCTGGTTTGGGGCGTAGTCTCCGAAAATTTGTTGTGCGTTATCAGCCATTGGCCCTATGATCTGAGAAGAAGAAGAAAACGATACAATAGTGATTGATTAACTTTCCTAGTTCTTCATAAAGGGCGGGACATCAGTCATTTGACTACTTTTCCCAACGTTGGATTAGAATAAAGAATTAATGGTCACGTCGAGGAAAGGACGCCAACGATTATTTTCTGCAGCAATTAAAGAGGTGTATTTTATCGGTCTCCGTCTCGGTCTCTGGCTCTCTCTCTCTCTCTCTCTCTCTCTCTCTCTCTCTCTCTCTCTCTCTCTCTCTCTCTCTCTCTCTCTCTCTGTCTGTCTGTCTGTCTGTCTGTCTGTCTGTCTGTCTGTCTGTCTGTCTGTCTGTCAGTGTGTCTGTCTGTCTGTCTGTGTGTCTGTGTGTCTGTATGTGTGTCTGCCTCTCTCCCTCTCTTTCTCTCTCTCTCTCTCTCTCTCTCTCTCTCTCTCTCTCTCTTTCTCTCTCTCTCCCTTCCTTTCTGTCTCTCTGCCTCTCTCTTTCTCTCTCCCTTTGCTCGCGTGTGTCTCTGTGTGTAGCTGTGTGTGTGCAAGCGTGCGTATAATGTTATGTTTTACAATCGTAGACATAGATGTACAACCCAGGGACAAAGGCTGACTTGTTTGACAGGGTAATCAACATGAGATAAAAACAAACAAACAAACAAACAAAAGCAGATAGAGATTAGGTCACTCACGCAAAGATCTCTCCCAATAAGAACATGATTAACAAAACTTGTAATTCGGGACGGCATCACTCACTCGTAAATGAAAACAAATTAATCTTGAATCCGTAATCGAGAAAATATGTAATTAATTATCCATTTTGGGCTAACGCAATACATCAAGTAACTGTCTCAAGATTGTTTAGCAGCGAATTTAACTGAAGACGTGAATACATTGGTGGCGTCGGTGGCCTAGTGGTTAGGCTCTCGGACTCGCAACCGTAAGGTCGTGGGTTCGAATCCCGTCAAGGGCCCGACGTTGTGTCCTTGGGAAAGGCACTTTACACGAATTTTCCTCACTTCACCCAGGTGGGAATGGGTACCCGGCTATAGACAGCGAAAGATCTTGTCAGTTTGTTAGTGTTTGAGCGCTTAATCGGCTGCTCGCACTGTATGCTTCCCGGGAAGCTGAGAATGTTTCGGAGTGTTCTATGGTCTGCTGGGGTAATAATATAGTGTAAAGCGCATAGAGCCTGCTGTTGAGCGGGGATATGCGCTATACAAATGCTATCTATTATTATTATTATTATTATTATTATTATTATTATTATTATTATTATTATTATTATTATTATTATTATTATTATTATTATTATTATTATTAACAGAAGGCAAAGCAGCAAAGATAACAATACTGTAAATGTGTTTTCAATTTTGTTGCACTCAAGGCTGCCATAAGATTATGAGTTGGTTCCACATCTCCCTTTTGACTAGACTCTACCAGACCAAAATTGTTAGCTTACATATTAATCTGGGCTTGTGACTGCTTATCGGAGTGGTCCAAAAGGGGTGGACAGGGTATTTATGTAGTAATACAACGGTTTCAAGCGTTGTGCACACTACTCATTGGTGATTACATAATGTCTAGTTAAATTTATAGACCATACGTCTATGAATAAACTTGACTGGGACGATGTTTCCAAATTAAGAGGAGGGAAGCAGTGACTATCTGGTTATGAAGACGCTTCACCCATGTGACCTCGTGCACACAGCAGACATGCTTCTCCATACACACACCCAGTACTCACAGCAACTTTACTGAAGTCTCCTTTCTTCAAAGGTAAAATCCCTCCTTGATTTTTCAACAACACAAAAGACTTCATGGCGGCTGTGACGGCCAGTACTTGATGTTCGGCCGATTCTATCTGATCCATACTCAGCTGGGCGTACGGGTTGTCCTCTTCCGGGTCAAACTCCCCGAGCCTCATGCGTGTGTAAAACAGCGGCTTGACTCTTTCCCTCACCAACTCTTCTGTCAGTTTGCCCTGGTCAATGGCGTCCACTGTGTAGAGGTATTGGAAAAAGAAGGATTTTAACACTTTAAAAAATCGTGATAAACAGTTAGAGACATTACTAAAGGTCCGAAGCATTCACACTTTTCCCCCTCATGTAGTAAGTGTTTTAAGTCTCTATCAACATAATGTAAATGACTTAGGAGGCGGCTTCAACCCCCCTCCCCCTCCCCCCAAAACATTTTTTCCCAGTTGTCAAACTTTCAAAGCAAACGTTACTTGACAGCATCGTAATTGCATGCATATTAATTATTTATACCTTCGCCATAACTCCAATAATGTTTAAGCACGTGGTGAGCATGAGCAAGCTTTCCAACGTTTAACAACACATAGGGTCAAATACCCCAGGGCTCTAGTATTTGGAGAAGGAGGAGGTGGAGGGGTACAGCAGCACTAGTAGTAGCATTAGCAGCAGCAGCAGAAGAAGAAGAAGAAGAAGAAAAAGAAGAAGAAGAAGAAGAAGAAGAAGAAGAAGAAGAAGAAGAAGAAGAAGAACAACAACAACAACAACAACAACAACAACAATAACAACAACAACAACAACAACAACCACCACAACAACAACAACAACCATAACAACAACAGCCACAACATCATCAACAACAACAACAACAACAACAACAACAACAACAACAGCCACAACATCAACCAACAACAACAACAACACCAATTACAATTCTACATACATATCGACATATAAACCGGCGTTGGTTGATTGCCAGAAAGTTCCAGGTTTGTTCCCGCGTTCACACAGGCTGCTGCAATGTCCACGCTGTCGTTGAGATATTTGTGCGTCCCACCGACACATTCTACGGCACCTTGGTCGCTGACCACATAGCCCTTGAAGTTCCACTCAGTACGTAGGATGTCAGTCAGCAGCTGTTTGCTCGCACAGGCAGGGACACCGTTTACGCTAAATCAAAGGGATGGGGATTTGGGGTTGGGGGGTTATTAACCTTGGTAACTTAAAGATTAGCAATTAACTTCCCTTGTGTGTACGTAGGTCAGAACATAATTATAATTATAAACACGTAATTTATCTTTCCTCTGAGTGAATGATTAGTTCTCTAACTTTCACTACAGATTTTCTTCGTGAGATTGCGAGTTCGGGGGTTCGAGCCTCAGCTCGGTCCGACGTTGTGCCCTTGGGAAAGGCACTTTACACTAACTTCTCACTTGGCTCGGTGCTATCGGAGACGGACGTTAAACTAGGAGGTCCCGCCCCTTAAATAACCTAATAGTGTTGATAGGGGCGTTAAACCTATACCATTTCATTTTTCACAGATTTTCTTTTCACTGCAATCTGTGTTGTATTGGGGAAACTATAGTACATGTATTAAGCATTTTTGTGAGGTGTCGGGGGAAACATTGTACTAAGAAGATATGTACTACATTGGGTTTTTTTAAAGGGCTGGGGGGGGGGGGGGGTGGATATTGTACTAAGAACACCCAAGTGGTGTTGAGGGAAACATTACAATGAGCATATCTGTGCTAAAAAGGGGGAAGCTTTGTAATGAATGTATATTGAGCTGTCTTGGGGAATATATTTCATTCAGTACTCATGTATGTACTGTTTAGAGGAGATATTGTACACAGAACATCTGTGCTCTATCCGGGAGACTGTTGTAATGAGTACATGTATGCTGTCTTGGAGATATATTGTAATGAGTACATGTGTACTGTATTGTCTATATTGTATTGGGTATACCTGTAGTGTATTGGGGGTGTGGGGATGGGGGGCGGTACTGAGTACCGCATTTTCTATTTTTCTGCCTTGCTTAATGTTTGACACTCACCACAGGTTTGCCGCGACTGGTAGGGACTAATAATGAGGCAGCGTGGTGGAATCAGGCTCTCGTCAATTTTTGGGCATATTGAGTTATTGGTATCCTCTTAAAGCATGTTCATTTGTCTTGCTTTCAATGGAAAAATTACCCATCCATCTTCAATAGAAGTGCAGATATTTTGGATTGAAGAAGGTGGGGGTCAACTGGTTTCAGAGGAAAAAATAGCGAGACAATGGCCGCCAAAGCTAGATAAATTGCAAAGTTGGAGAGTCTATGGACATTGTAAATTTATATTTTTGTGCTTTTAATCAATGTTTTTCGGTGAAATCCTCAACGGAATTTGTTGGTAAATGGACATAAAAGGTGCTGAGCCAAAAAACAAAAAATTTAATAAAAATCGCTAAGCATGGAGAAAACTGCTGTTTTCTCCGATTTCATTAATTTGACGAGTGCCTGATTTCACCACGATGCCTCACATTTTTATTATATTAATCGCTAAACTAATGAAGCACGGTATCAACATGCTTCCTGCTACCCCCACCCCCACACACACACTCACCTTTTTCCACAAGTAAATATTCGAATATATATTTTAATATCAGTAAAATAATAGGCTATTTCTAAAGAAAATTTCTTACAACAGAAAAATATTTAGAAAAGCGTTTGAGAGAAAAAGTTCTTAACAAGCAAGTCAGTAAGGGTACCTGTTGTAGCTGCACATGATGCTGTAGGTACCAGCCTGCACACATTTCTTGAAGGCTGGCAAAAACGTCATTCTCCAGTCTGTGTCTGACACCTGATTTTTAGAAAAGTTTATCAATGCACAAAATATCAAACGTAAAATCTGCATTGCGGGATTAAATGAAATGATTACATTTAGTTTGGTGACCATGTCATGAGCACGGTACAAACATTTCTCCCATGTTTGTTGTTGTTTGATTTGTTTTGTTTGTTGTTGTTGTTGTTGTTGTTGTTGTTGTTGTTGTTGTTGCTGCTGCTGTTGTTGTTGTTGTTGTTGTTGTTGTTGTTGTTGTTGTTGTTGTTGTTGTTGTCGATTGCTTGTTTGCTTTTTGTTTTGTTTCATTGGGGGGAGGGGGATCTTTTTTTGGTTCCCCCCTCCTTTTTATTTATTTTCATTTTCTCCCAACATGATGGCACGGCATGGCTGCAGACCAGAGAAACGGACCTTGCGGGCTGTAGTTTGGTGGTTTATCATGGTCTAGGGTATTAGAATACGTTTGTTATCCAGGCATCCGTCCTCCATATTCTCAGCTTCTGACAAATAACATATTTTAAAAAATTGTAATAAGTAATCAATAGTCAAGATAAAGTTGAAAAAATAATGGGGGTTTTGTCTGTTTGTTTGTTTGTTTGTTTGTTTGTCTGTTTGCTTGTTTTTGGTGAAGAAGCACACAATTACTATACAACCACTCGCAGCCCGAGAACTTTGTTATCGTCGCTGAGACAAAATGCCAAATGTCAAAACAAAATTTAAAAAATAACACCCCCCCCCTGCTTCCAAATCACAACAACAACAACAGCAACAAACAGTAACAAACCGCCTGAACTGTTTTCTAAGGACAGATGCAGTTGTCAAAATAAGGAACATACTCAGAGTAATTTTACCTGGGCATCAAAAACAAATCTGGTGACGGGTATGTTCTCAGGACCGGCGTAGGCATCGAAATGTTTGCAGCCAGCACTTGTCATGATGTACTGTGTCCCAGGACCTTTTTGGGTAGGAGTGTGGAGGAGGGCGAGGGGGTAAACGTTTGACTTATTGTTAGAGCTGTTTGAAAGGTAATTCTCTCCTCGAATTCCTAGTGAAAGAGATATTACTAATTCATTGATAAATGGTATCCTTATATCCCAGTAAGAATACATTAAAGTAGGGCCTACAAGATATGTTTTATGTCGTCATTGATTGGCTAGATAGGGGTGTTTATTGTGTATGTATTAATATATTATTTATTATTACCTTGCCTCTTTTTGAAGATCTTATCTTATCTTATCTTATCTTATTGCTTTCAGTCTCCTTCTTAAGGAAAATGTTGCTGTTCCTACATTTAGCCGAAGTTTCATAAACAACAGGGAGAAGAATGATTATTTTAAAATGTTAAGGACAGCCGAAGTCGTGGACCTGTCTTTTGACAAAAGGAAAAGCCGTAGCCACAAAGAACTATATTATACCGACCACCCAACAAAAGATAAGGTAAAAGCCTACAGTGCAGAACATAAATCATTTACCTTTAAGTCATTTCCCTCAACATTTTTTTTTTGGGGGGGGGGCGTGTTTTGACCTAATAAACGAGACTCTCAGTCAACAGAAGATATAAAATGTAGAGCAGCACAGTATAAAAACTGAACTAACTACACGTATTATGGGAGAATTCGCAGCAATAACTCGTCTCACTTTTTATTTGTACAAAATGCCAGAAGAGGTGATAGCTCGTACATTATGTGAAGGGATTTCTCCAGGACCAACTTGATGGAAAGATTATATAATTTACTGGAAATTTCAAGAAAGCAAAAAAGAGGAAGTAAAAGGGAGAGATGAATATCAAACATGCAACAACAAAAAACCGAGTAAGGAGGTCTGAAGAGCGTCGATAAAAAATAAACTTATCTCACACCGAAGCTTTTAACTTTTAAAAACTTTTGTTGATTTTGGTGAACACGCCTGTAATTATTATTGTTACGATATCATTGAACCTACCTTGAATACCTCTGACAAAGTTTTGTGCTAAAACACCAGTCATAAAAGGGTCCTCTCCATATGTCTCCTGTGGGTATCAGAGAACGCAAATATGATGGGCTTTTCAAGTAATTCTATTTTGAAACCTTATAATATGGGTACACGCTCTTTTCAATTTTACTTTATATAATTGAGATGCGCATCTTCGCTTTTGCCTCCAACTTTCATGGGTCATGGAAAAAGGATGGGTGGGCAGAAGCTATAGAACTAAGCCAAACAACTTTAAGTTCATCGGCACTTAATTGCAGATTCATAGACTGTTGCTTGCATCGTAAATCAACATACCAAAAGTGAGATGAGAGACCGTGAATCTGATCTGCTTTAGCTAATATGGGCTGAGAGGGATACAGCGTCCCAGCAGAAAGATCGACATACTCGATAAAAATTCTCTCTACACGGGAATCGAACTCGGGTCTTTTGTGTGCAACGGCAAAACGTCTAACTACTACACCACAGACGCCGGTGAAAAGGAGGAATTTGTAGTACAACACTGAAAAGATCATTTCAGAAGCAAAATCTCGCCTTGTGGATTAAGTTAAGAAAATCCGAGATTGGTTTGTTGTTGTTTTTAAGAACATAACAAAACAACAGAAAAACGGCAAAACAGAGATCTGTTGTATATTTCAATTAACACTTCGTATTGAAGTACTAAACATGATTCACCATCAGAAATTGTTGAACTCTCTTACAGTATGTGATGGCTACCTTTATGATAAAACCCAAGAGAGGGTGGTTAGTTGGCAGGTGCTCTAGTGTGGTTTGCTCCTTCTTTTCTATCAAACACCTGTCGTCCTTATCTTTCCTCCTTTTGTGCATGTTACGTTCTTATAACACCTTGTAATCTTCGAAACGCATATTTATGACCTTACTGTGCTATAAAACTCTAACAAAAAACAAAACAAACATTTGAGATTCTCATAAAAGGAAAATGATACCGTTGCAAGACCCCTCTTTTTAGCTCATTTTTTACATGAAAAAAAAGTGTGACCCATCAGTTTTCATTTTGTCAAGCAAGAATGAAAGAAAAAATTGTGACCCTCCAGTTCTGTAATTGTCAGAAAAGTTAAGAGTGGCTGACCTGGTTCCTGCCCCACCGTGGGTCTCTCATGATGTTGATCACAGGACTGAAGCAGCTAGCGCTGGTGTGGGTGGCAAAGATTCCTCGTTTCACAAAGTCGTTGTGTTTGGCTCTCACCTCCTGGCCTGTAGCGGTGGCCACGCTCATGATAATGTCCGGACTGTCGAGGGATTCGGACAATAAAATTAGTCACTCTTAGCTTTAATCGCTTTTCCCTGTTTTTGTATACACAATGGAAACCACCATTTGACCCACTTGCTCATAATCTTTCTGCATTTATATTATATACAAATGAACGTTGAAAATACCCGCAAAGTCTCAAAATAAAAAACGAAGGTACCCACGTTGACATGCATTAGGGCTGCACTATTTAATAACCGATTAGCCGTAAGTCTTCAGGGTTAAGGGCTTTGATATAGAATGCCTGGCCTAGATCCTGTGCATGGGACACAGGATGAAAGGGGTGGGGGCGGGGTGACATTACAATTTGATGATAGCCACAGTTCAGTACATTAATATATCAATATAATATCGTCAACACTCTCTGTGCCGAAACACAGCGTACGCCTAATACATAGATTCATTAATCTACCACAGGTTTGTATCATACAAGCAAAAGCCATTTTTATATGCATCATCCCAGTGTTTTATGAGATCAGAAACTATTGAATGAGGGGGGGGGGGGGGGGGAGCTAAAAAGAACACCCTCCCCCCCCCCCATAAAACTTAGAGTTCTGGATAATAACACAGTCAAAGCCAAGAGAACAAATTGAAATAAAAGTCGTCTGTTAAGCACCTTTCAACAAGTTTTAAAAATCTAGATCTAGTATCTTGCCGTACTGACGTTTGGGCAATCATCGTTTGACTTTCCAGTCGAATAAAGAAGAGTGACCTTATTTGGGCAACATATGGCCTAAATAAGCTAAACTCTCCTTCCTAACCTTATATAGGCCACATATGGGAGGCAGCGTGGTGGAATCAGGCTCTCGTCAAAATAATCAAAGTGAAGAAACTGTCATTTTTCTGCAGAAGTGTGAATTTTATCAAATTTTTGTTTTATGGCTGAACACCTTTCATGCTTATTAAAGAACTAATTCCTGTGTGGATTTTTCTGAAAAACGTTGATTAAAGGCTCAAAAAATGTAAATTTTCAGTAACCACGGACTCTCAAGCTGAGGAAATAACTAATCTTTGGCGGCCATTTTCTCACTAATTTTGCCACTGAAAACAGGTGACCCCCACCTCCTTCTTTCGCAAATATCTCGACTTGTATTCAAGATAAATGGATATTTTTTGTTCCCAAAAAAGACAAATGAACAAGATTTAAGATGACACCAATAACTTTACATGCCCAAAAATTGACGAGAGCCTGCTTCGACCGCGCTACCTCACATATGGCCTAAATAAGCTAAACCCCCCCTCCCTTACCTTATTTAGTCCACATATATATGGCCTAATAAGCTAGCACCCCATCTGACCTTATGTAGGCCACATATATTTTATATAGAGAAAGAAACTCTCTTCACATTCATCTTCCATCACAGCAGGACATGTAATGAATCTAGAATCAATTTATGGTCCTTTTCTGTTTCAAAATGGTAGCCCAGCTTTTGCACCTCCATGAAGGAAAAATCTGGCCATTGAGATTGAGCAAAATTTTGCGAATTGTGCTTTGTTTTTACAATTTTCATTTTGATTATGATTTATAAGTTGTACACAGAGACAAAACTGTACTTAATGAGAAAGGTGCAAAATTATGAAAGTGGAACGAACTCAGTTGCGTGAAGAAGGTAGTTTGAGCATACATGTGGCCTAAATAATGTTCCGGGGAGGGGGAAACCTATGTTACGTGTTGGGTGGGGGGGGGGTGACTTTATTTAGGCCATATGTGACCTAAATAAGCACTCCCAATAAGGAATGCCTGCAAGGTTTTAATGACATTCCACTGTTTTGACTTGATCTTACATTCGTTCTCTGATGTGTCTTTACAGGTACCTTTTTGATTTTAAAAAAACATGTGTGAAAGAGCTAGGCACTTCACTATTGTGGACAAAAGACCCTTGTCCGATTCCCTGGTGGGATTAAGGGATCTACATTTTAAAGCTCGGGTGCAGAATTCAACTTAGCCAAGGTTGGCCCGAACTGGCAGCGCCACATCTGCTGTCTCTTACCCTTAATGTTCTAAATTAAGTCAACGGGGGTGTGGAAAATTGACAGTTACTTACTATCGCACCATAAACTACCTGAGTCTATAGAAAGACCAATACACTTCATATGTTAAGATGATTTTATACCTCCTTGCTCGATAAATGAAAGGGAAAAGGTATGGGTCCAAGTCCGGACAATTTCTTTCTGCTCCGTAAAGAGACAGCGCTTTAAACACTTTCTTTAAAAAAAGACGTATGTATAATAATATGAAGCCATGTGTTATCGTCAAACAAAAATATGACAAACTAAACGTTCTTGAGAAAGGGTCAACGGCTTTACCTAAAAGTGGCTGCCAGACCAATAGCTTGAGGAAAACCGGTTGCATTTTCCACAGCTCCTGCGTCTCCCCTCAGACATTCGGTGTCCCAGTTGTAGGCTCCAATGCCTGTAAACACAAACAAGTCATACAGACATATAGATACATATGTTGTGACATAGCAAGGATGCAAAGGACTAGAATCCTCAGATAAACGCATTGTTGAGAGGCGGTTTGTAAATTTATTTGTTTGTTTGATTGTTTGTTTGTTTGTTTGTTGTTATAGCGGCACCATTAATACGTTTACTGTCCTGTTTTAGATACCAAACTTAATATTCTAGAAGTCGCCCATGGTTCTATGTTATTTCATCCATACCTTGTCTTTAACAAGTATGACTTTCTATGATAAAACAAGGTATAAATTATCACATGCGGAAAAACGACGTTTTTAAGTCTATGTGTAACAGAATAGAGCTTCATACGATGACCCCAAGGACCAAGAACCAGAGTGTAGGTAAATACACATGAGGTATAAGACCCGAAGAATTTAGGAGGGATAAGGTTATAGACTTTATATATTATACTTAACTGGACAAGTGTTTAAGCCATTGGTAGGTTTCTGCATTTAATTTGCTTCTTGAGTTCTCATTTCAATTTCCGTGTCCAATCTCCTATTACGTGTAAATAGTATGCTAACCTGGTATTAAAATTCCTCAACCTGTTTGAGTTGTGTCCTGTTGATGAAGTGGTTAGTGGGCCTGTGTTACTTGTGACTTAGGTTACTTCTGTTTTGGTAATGCTGGTTCTCATCTAGTATCCAATGCACTTTTTATTAAGACACATGTTTTAGTAAACACAAACACATATAAATATATAATACACACATATACACACATATATACACAAACACACATATATACACACATACACACACATATACAAACACAAACACACATATATACACACACACACACACACAAACACACATATATACACACACACACAAACACACACACACACACACACACATATATATATATATATATATATATATATATATATATATATATATATATATATACACATGTGTATATATATATATATATGAGTCATTTTCAAAAAATGTCACATTTTAGACTCTCATTTTTTTCGAAAAATAAATTTTTATGAAAAGTTTCAAAATAATATTGATGAAATGAATCAACCATCTATAGACATAAATGTGAAATTTCTAAGCTTAATTCCGTCAAATTAGAGCGTCACGGCAACTTTTGGGCTAGAGTCCTCGTAAAAAAGTTGCTGGGATTTATGTTTAAGATTACCTGCTCATCAAAATAATGTTGTCAAGTTGCGTCGTCTAAAATATTACAGGAAAAGGAAAGTCTAAATTTGACGCGTATCACTTCTACCAGTCAGCTGTCAATTATATATATCTTCCTTTCTGTTTTGCCATAAGACTACAAAAAAATGCCCACCCAATCCATCAACAGGTTCACATCCTCTAGAAAACTCACCCAATCTGGGTATGGCCGGGGCGGGACCTCCAAAATCCCCAGCACCACCTCGGGACATCTGAACCATGACCTCCTGCAGAGTCAACCTGGACACCAGATCATCCACACGTTCGTCCCACGGCAAGCTGGTATTTCTGAACGGGAAATCGTCAAAGGGAGAATCTTCCACCTCCATACTCATGTGTCTCACTGTGTCATGGTGACGCCTGGACAATCTAGAGCCAACAACTCCATTGTTGGACGTACAGAGGGCCAGTATAAGAAAGCTTATACAGCAAGGTAGTCGGGACAACACCGTCCTCATTTTGTTGTTGGCGCTATAGAAATCTGTAGAAAGAAACAAAGAAGAAAGTGTGTTATGTAATAAGTATAAGTTCAATTTGAACAATAAATTGAGAACGAGGAAGAAGAAGAAGAAGAACAATAAATTACACTTAAACCTTTTCCTTATGAGTGGGTCAATGAGAGTCTACTCGCTCGGTAGGTTGTGCCACAGCTCATTTAACCACACTGGACTGTCGTGCGCGTGGCACTGGTTCAAACCTTCCTAAACTTGCATTTCTACTCTCCATTAGGGGATTCTCGTGGCCTAGTCGTTAAGGTGTTCGCCTCTCATCCAAAGGTCCCGGGTTTGAATCAGGGTAGCGACGGCAACATTTTCTTTTCTAAAATTGTATCTTTTCACCTCCTTTCCTGCTCTCTATCAGTGTTCTGTTGTCTACTTTTGTCTCCACTTTCTGCCCCCACCCCCTCACCTCCTTCGCCCCCTCCTTTGGGCTCCTGACTCTATCTGCAGCCCTTCTACTGCTACTCCTTGGTTCCTTCTTACTGCTGTTATTCAGCCACACCCCTGATCTTCTGGTAGGAAAGATCTACACTTAGATACGTCGGACAAGGGGGGAAATATCTCGGAGGTCCGGTGTGCAAGTTGCGCCCGTTAAAGATCCCTTGGTGGTCTAAAACCAACACAAGTAGGTTTTGACCACCACGCGGTCAATATAAAAAATTTCCTACAAACTGCCAATGTTTAAAGTGTCCCGCGCGCTCATATATAACCGTATGCATTTGCACGCGCTGTAAAAGACTTTCCACTTATTTCCCTTGGTCCTATCGGAAATGAATTTTAAAAGTGTTGAAACACTTTTATTCCAGTTCCTTAATTTATGGTAATGGTTTCAAGTGTCCTAAAAATATTTTGGATAAAATTCAAATTCTAAATGTAAAAGAAAAAGGGTACTGTGGCGTCGGTGGCCTCGTGAGATGGAGGGTTTGGGAGTTCGATCCTCAGCTCGGTCCAACGTGTCCTTTGGGAAAGGCACTTTACACGAATTGTTCATTTAGCTCTGTCCTTAAATAACCTAATATCGGCCTACAGTGTTGATAGTTAAACCTGTACCATTTCACCTTTTTCAAAAAATGATACATAATGTAGGTATAATAATTGTTAATGAAACAGTTTTTATCTCCCTCCTTTTTAATTATTTTTTTTATTCAAGGCTTAGTACATTTGAACAGCCTGTCGATATTATAGTGCTAGGGGCGATAAACCAACTCTGTAGCATTCCTCTTGGGGGTACTTACGCAGAAATATATCATACAGGCTCTTTATTTTAACTTTTTTAAAAATTGGGTAGATATTTTAAACAATATCACGAGAGGTCAGAATCAAAAGAAAAGCCAAGACATGTACACGTATCATGGTCCTCAAATCACGATGGATAACTTGCAAGTTTTTCTCTTGAGGGAACATAATTGGTGCTCTTATAGTACTTCCGGATAGAACTCACAAAACACAATGATTGTTTCGATGAAACAAAAGTCCAGACAGTTATCCTTCCAGTCCACAATAGAACATAATCAATGTATGTTCTTTTTCAAAACCGAATATAAAAAGAGACTTACTTGAACGCCTATGGGGAAGCTGGATTTGAAGAATATGCACACCAACAACCGAGAAAGAGCTGACCCTAAAAGAAACTGAAATTATATAAATATGGCCCAGTATTATGTAGCTGAAATTAATAAGAATTGTTTGTCTTCGTAGGACAAAAAATCTCGTCAATCCAAGGTCAGGACTGTTACTTCAATTCCGCTTTCACCAGCTTTATGATACTATAGTCAATAGTTTACGTTGATAAGAGTAACCTTTTGACATCATCTGGAGTTAGCTATGACAAGTGCGGCTGAGATACTGAAAAGACATCTTGAGATCTTTTTGTACTGCCCTAATCAATTTAACAATTTTTTGGACTCAATTTTCATGTAGCAAAGAACGATGAGCTTTTGTTTAAATTGCAAAGCAAACCAGTCATAATTCCTCTTCCAATGCCAATCCACTAACGGTTCCTTCTTTTTCAGGCTCGACATGAAATTGCGATTTTTGGCCATTTTTAAAGAAACTCGCGAATTCAAGTCGTTCGCCCTACAGAATTGGAAAACATTGCACTTGTTGACTCAAATTGCAATTCAAAACTTTCGCTGAAAACGAAATGAGCAAAGGGCGAAGAAAAGGAGCGCGTAAAACCCCCCACCCATATTCAATAACATTATCCAGTGCAATCCAAAAGCGCTCTCAGCTGTTGTAGGCCAAAAACAAAAATCAAACCGGTCTATTGTGATGTGTACTTGCTGAACTCTTCGCAGTGATGCGCAGAAGACATGAGTTCAATTCTCAGCAGGAAAATTTGTTGGTTTTTATTTCACAAAAAAGATGTGGCACCCCAACAAGCCAAGGTTGGAACCTCTTTAGATACTCTTCGAATAATATTTTAAAAAAAATATTATTTGATCTATACTTCAGCGAAATATCCTTTTGTAGGTTCTTAAGTTTCTGTTTTGCCACCGCCCTCTCTAAATGTGTTCTATAAATACGTATCTTAATTATCTGTTCAGCAACTGATGCTTTAGATCACTTGTCCAGGTTAATATTGGTATCATAACTATCAGTAGTATCAGTTCCTGGCCACTGTTATCACTTATCAGAAGTACTCGAGCACCGCTTTCTGTTGATTACGTTTTCCGTTTTGAGTTTTGTTTTCATAGTTTGATCATTGTTAATTTTTCATTTACTTTTTTCATGTTAAACTAAGATGCCTGTAACTTTATGTACTGGTATTGTGGCCACGTATTGATAACGAAAACTTCAGACGATAATATGATTAATTATATAGGCATGTTGGGGTCTTAGCTTAAGTGGACGTACAAGGACTTGAGGAAACATTTTATCAGAGTGGGCGTCTTTGTGACAATGCATAGAAAACTTGTCGAGGGCCTAAACATCATGAAAGTAGATTCTTATTTCCTTTGTGTGTGTGGGGGAGGGGGGGGGTGCGTGCTTTTTATTTCTTAGCTTGTTCTTTTTAGTTTCCTTTACCACATCTAATAATGAAATAATAAATAATAACATTCTCATAAGCATGTGTTACAATATGTAGTTTTATTGGTAAACAGAAAACATGCTTTAACAAAGATTTTCCAGTCTCCCGTTCGTGTAGAATTTTTTTTTTTTTATTAATAGTCGGTCGTGTTACGCCGGGTTTCAATATACTGTTGAAAATCAGATAACGCGTTGGTAGCACTGAGTGGGACTGATAACTGAGAAAATGCCAGTTGGAGCCATTAACAGTCTTATTTGTTTATGGTTTAACGCTATTTTGACACAATTTTGACAATTTTGGAAGCTGTTGTTTTGACTGTGCCTACCAGTGGGGACCATTATATCATCAGATGGTAGATGTCACACCGAAATTAAAAGCCGCCTTTGCCAAGCAAAAAAAACCTTCCACAAGATGAAACAGATACTAACAAACATCAATCTGTCGCTGGAAACGAGGAAAAGAGTACTGAAAAGTTACATCGAGCCAATCCTATTATATGGGTGCGAAGCGTGGACAATCAATAAACAGCTGTAAAGAACAATTGTAGCGACAGAGTTGTGGTTCATAAGACGCATGCTATGTATCCCATAGACAGCTAGAAATACAAATGAAGAAGTCCTGGTTGAAGCAAATTATAGAAAACAACTTATCACGAATATAAGAAAACGACAGGCAAATTTCTTCGGACACGCAATGCGGAAAGAAGCATTAGAGAATATTGTAACAACAGGAAAGTTTGACGGAAAGAGAGGCAGAGGCAGACAGAGGGACAAGATGCTGGACAAGATGACAACATGGTTGGGAGCAGCAAGAACAACAGACACCATTGCTGCAGCGCAGGACAGGGGGAAGTGGAGGTCCATGATCGCCCACGCCAGTCGGCAAGGCACCGGATGATGATGACCAGAATAATCTATCCCGGGTGTTAGGAATACGTGCAGCCAGGCAGAGAGAATATAATAATAATATTATTATAATATGCTCGATAGAACATTTTCTCATCCTGGAATGGGGGTTGGGGGGGGGGTGGGGGCGGAGCAGCAAAGGGCCTAACAGTCACAGCAATGACGTCAGCACAGTAATAAAAGTAAGGAGAATAAAAAAGGAAAGGAAGAACGCAATGCACACAAACAAAAACAAAAACAAAAACAAAGACAAAACCAGCCAGGCTCTCATCCAACCACCACTGTTTCGATTATTCTTTTAAATATGCATCTATAGACTGTATAACTTCTAGCTAATTAATAACACTATTGCTCGGCGTTGACATGACAAATATTTCATTTAACACATCAATGACCAGGATTTTTGTATTTAACAAAGTAGCTATCCAGCCCACTCTAAAAAAAAGTGGTTGACCCCTCCTCTATTCAAACAAACAAATTATGTACGGAAACGCATTTTGCCTGGCTGTTTATTCGGCCTGTAGAAAAGAATGGAAGAAAAGGTATAAAACGGTTTAGACTTGACAGCACGGAGAATCATATTGATAAAACTCAGCAGTTTCAGCAATATTGTTTTCTTCACTTATCTCGCCGTGCACTGTAGCAAGGTGTCCGGACAGAGCGTCAATTATAATGCAATTTTCCAATATCTCAAATGTGCTTGTCATTGCCAAATGCCAGATGATGTCGAAAGGTTACTTTTATCATCGCTCACTATCAATCAATGTAGTATGGAGACGAGACGATAACGGGGAAAATGAGGCAATGTATATGACCTTAGATGTCAAGTATCAACTGGTTTTTAGCCACAAAAAATATTTGTCCATATCTGCTACTTAATGCAAGGCACGGTCTGTACATTTTTAGTTTCTTTCTGGATATGATTTTTCACATTTATTTTCGTGAATGCTCTTTGTTTCAGTAGGCGTTCTAGTAAGCATCTCTTAACGCTAGGTGTTTTTTTTAATTTACAGTTTTTAATCGATTCTGTTCATTAGAAACTGAGAGGATAATTGTCCAGATTTTGTTCACCGGATACTGTGTGTTGTTATTTCTGCACTAAAATACAAATGTATTTAATAAAATATGCTCGGTATTTTTTTCACAAGGCTGAGATTCGTAGGGGTTTTTTTTCTTTGTGATCAGGTTATATTGGTATATTACTCTTGGCCTTTCATGATATCATTTGAAACAGGTGTCATACAGAGACTTAAAAGACTGATCTCAGTTATGATCTCATTTATAATACATGTAGTGTCCGTTTTTACTGTTCCTTAGGGGTGGGAAGGGGCATTTTGCCTGGGTATTCTTGCTATAACAGCTGCCAAAGTAATAAATCTGACTTGTCCTTTGAAATGTTTGTACAAGATGAAAATGAGCTAATAATCACAGTCTGATTAAGAGTAACTTTTTAAAGTGTGTGTATGTATATTCTTTATTCTAATTCTCATTGCATTTATAATTAGGATAAATCATTATCTATTCATATTACAATCATACAACCCCTTTCTTCTCTGCTATTTGTTCTATCTAAAGCAGATTTCTAAAACGCCAACAACAAAATGAGGACGGTGTTGTCCCGACTACCTTGCTGTATAAGCTTTCTTATACTGGCCCTCTGTGTGTCCAACAATGGAGTTGTTGGCTCCAGATTGTCCAGGCGTCACCATGACACAGTGAGACACATGAGTGTGGAGGTGGAAGATTCTCCCTTTGACGATTTCCCGTTCAGAAATACCAGCTTGCCGTGGGACGAACGTGTTGATGATCTGGTGTCCAGGCTGACTCTGCAGGAGGTCATGGTTCAGATGTCCCGAGGTGGGGCTGGAGAGTTTGGAGGTCCAGCCCCTGCTATACCCAGATTGGGTGAGTTGTCTGTAGTATAGGTATGTGCACTAGTTGATATAGACTAGACGGAAATATTTTTATGGTGGTATGAGAGATACGACAGGACAACTGATAGATAAGATACTGTGTTCTGGTACCTCTTGAATTCCTCTTGATTTTGTCCTTAGACTTGTTATGACACTCTGGCAGCACAGATTCAGCTGGATGAAGTTTACTGGATTACTTTTCTTATGTGCCCAAATGGTAAAACCGATAATTTGAAAGTGGGAATAACAATTTAAGCTCTATCAAGCCTCCCCCCCCCCCCCCCCCAGTCCACCCACCTTAAAAGTATGAACAAAAACGAATAAACAAAGTCATGATGAATAACTTCATTGGAAAGGCTCAATCCTTTGGATTGGTACCCTAATTGTAATCTCACAATGTTACAATACATATATACCACAACAATTATGTGATTTCACAGGCATTGGAGCCTACAACTGGGACACCGAGTGTCTGAGGGGAGACTCGGATGCTGTCGAAAACGCCACGGGATTTCCCCAAGCTATTGGTCTGGCTGCCACGTTTAGGTACTGTACAGTTTTTTATATTGACTCAAAAGACTTTGTCATGATATATTGCTTCTAAAGGTTTTTGTAATAAAATATTGCTTTAAAAGTCTTTGTCTTAATAATATAGGCCTATTGCTTTATGCTGTTGGGAACTGATGCCATTCAACTGTTTGTTCGTTTTTTTCCTTTTTAAATGTAGGTGTTTTTACGCCTCCATTGACACGATTTAGATCGTTCATGACACATGCTTCCGACCCTGCCTGTCAGGACCAAACTGGGCCGGGATCGATAAATCACCCCGGCAAAGAGACTGATAATTTACTCGATAAACACTCTCCCTTCACGGTACTCGAACTTACGTCGCCAACGTGCGACAGCGAAGCGCCTATATAACCAATGCACTATAGACCTGGGTATTACCTGTATTACCTGTCCTGGGCAAAACGTCATTGCACACCGGACAGGTCCATAAGTGCTCAGTTCCCCCCAGCACCAAAGCCCGCAAGGTATCCATACTGATTGTTCCGGTGGCTGTCTGGTTATGGCGACGTCTTTCCTTTCCAGACAATCATTCCTTTCTTCCTTCTCCCCTCTATCCCCATTTCCTGCATCCTAATGATTGCGTGGTGTTCTGCTGTCTCCCTGTCTTCTTCATCCCGCAACCTTTTCTCCAGGGTCTTCAACACTTCTCCTTTGTCAAATTTCACCATCAACCACGGCACTGCATGCCAGCCTATCAGCCTCCTCATTGCCTTTCAAACCAGACCTGGGTAGAAATTGTTTAAGGTGTAAGTGTTATGTGCCTTGACTAATTTTATTGCTCGCTTCCGGCCCTCGACAGTCCGGACATTATCTTGAGCGTGGCCACCGCCACAGGCCAGGAGGTGAGAGCCAAACACAACGACTTTGTGAAACGAGGAATCTTTGCCACCCACACCAGCGCTAGCTGCTTCAGTCCAGTGATCAACATCATGAGAGACCCACGGTGGGGCCGGAACCAGGTCGGTCATTCTTTTCTGTCTTTTTTTTTCTTTTCTGTCTTTTCTGTCTTTTTTCTTTCCTTCTTTCTCTCTTTCTTTCTTTCTTTCTTTCTTTCTTTCAAATTTCTTTCTTTCTCTTTTCCTTATTTCTTTATTCACAAAACGAGAATTGGTGGGTGAATTTTTATTTACATCACAAGAATGAGCTTACTTTAGGAAAATGATCTTTCATGGTCTTGCTAGGCATCCTCTACCTAATAAATCTCTTATAGTATAGGTTTTTCACAAAGGTAAAACATCACACACTGGCAAGAGGCTCAGCGCTCTCTGATAGTCAGTCTTTATTGAAATATAATTATACCAGACATCTGTTTCCTGTATGTAATAGTAACGTCTTCGTATGATAGATTTATTTCTCTACTCTATGTTCCAACCACAGGTTCAATATTCGCTTTTGAAATAATGATATGTTTAGTGTTAAACTAAAAGTTTTAAAAAAAAAGAACGGCATTACTTCAGTTGTTTTATTACACCAGACTAGATGCAGGAAACCTTTTTGAATCCCTAAATGGGGTAATATTGAGTTGCTCGAGAAATGTCCATGAATTTTCCATGCCTTTTTTCTGAGGCCGATGTTGAACGTGAAAGCTAGGATACCGCTTGTTAAACGACCCTGCTGTTTTGAAAAGAACGTATAAGTCATGAGTCGAGGTAATCAAAAGCATGCCTTTTTGATTCATTAAAAAAATTGTAAGTGTCTGCGTGTTTTATGTTTCCCACAGGAGACGTATGGCGAAGACCCTTACATGACTGGAGTCTTGGCACAAAACTTTGTCAGGGGTCTCCAAGGTAGGCTAAAAATTGTGAAATGGAATTGGTTTGACGCCCCTATCAACACTTTTAGGTTATTTGAAAAGCCGGACCTCCGAGTTTGACGTTCATCTCCGAAAAAACCGAGCTAAATGGGAAATTCGTGTAAGGTTCTTTTCCAAGGACACAGCGTCAGACTGAGCTGAGGCTCGAACCCCCGAACCCGCAATCTCACTAGTACGGGTAAAATAGCCTAATAACCAGCCAGCGACGCCACCAAGATAAGCTCAATGTCGCAACAATAATTATTAGATCTACATGACATGTTTGTTAGTTTATTCATTGCCTGGTTTGGCTTAGCTGATTTAACAATAGACGGCGGTTTGGGTTATCTGGACCCAGTTCTGTTTCTGATTTTAGGCTGTTGTTACAGTTGTCACAAGTCCCCCCCCCCAAAAAAAAAAAAAAAACACCACAAAAAAACAACTGAACAACTTGTTTTCTAAATATCACATTTAAAAGCAATTTGTTTGACGTAAAATTCACAAAAAAAGAAACCTATTTTTGAAAACGGAAATGACTTTTTATAAAAAAACACCTATAAATGCAAAATTTAAAAGATTTTTAAAGAAAGTCATAAAATAATTGGTTTGATTTTTCCTTTCCTTTTATTTTAAATCTTTGTGTCCCTGTAACCTTTAAACAATCTTTTTTTTTAAAAATCTCCTGCAGAGTTAAAAGAATATATTTTTTAAATTCTGGTATTCCGTGAACGAATGGTCTATTATTATCTATATGTCCTCTTTTGGACTCGACACATGAGTAATCATAGTCACATACACTATTGACCTTGGGGTGAAGAAGAAGAAGAAGAAGAAGAAGAAGAAGAAGAAGAAGAAGAAGAAGAAGA